CATAAATCGCAAAAAACGGACCATTTGAGTCTTTCGCGATCTCTGCCTTCGATTTCAAATCTCCAGATACAGTAACCTAAACACTCACGTTTATAAGGTAAATTTCCCTGGTAATTGCTCTCATCGTAAATTCTATCGCCTCCTCCTCCTCCTCCGTGAGCATCAATGCCTCCAGGAGCCAACGCAACTACGAAGAGCAATTTGAGAAATATCTGTCGTTTGTCGTACTGTATCCAGAAGACGTTGTTGTTCTTGTTTTCCTTAGGAGCGATCTTTCTTCGTTTTCTGATGATGTGGTCGTCAACCAATAACATCTACTCATCAGGAGACTGCCACTTCTGCAGAAGAATAGGGTTATGGTAGTTTTAAGGAATCTGAGAATAAAACGAAGAAAAAGAAATCGTATAATTAAAAAGAAAATAATGAAGAAAAAAGGGGGAGGGGCGTAAAAATTTCAAAGTAGGGTCCCAAAAGGTACGGAGACATCCATCAAGGGTTAAAGGAGCAGCGAAAAGAAGAAGGGGTGAAGCGTAAGTGTTTCGTTTTTCGAGTCACCGAAAAAAGGCAAAAATAGAGAGAAAGAGAGAGCAAAAATGGAGGGAAGAAATGTCTCAAAGTGCGAAAAACGAGTAGAGAGAAAGAGCATGTGTGGGCTTCTTGTCCCCCCTCCGGGTTTTGTTCGAAATTTGATTTCAGCTCATTGAAGACAATCGTCAGATGTACATGTATATGTCCAAAAAAGAAGGAAGAAGAAAAAGGAGAAGAGGACTTTTTGAAGAAGCCAGCAATTTTTAAGAGAGCACTGATTATTTTTAAAAACATTGAGAACTGGAGATTTCTGAAGTTACGGTAGAACCGTAACTTCAGAAATCCGAAAGCTGAAGTTCTCAAATATGAAACTGAAAAAATCTGAAAAAAAACGCGATTGACATACGATTGGAGCTAACAGATGGAAAGTTCCCCAAAGTGGGTGCAAATTTTGGTTTGGAAACGTTTTTTTTGTGGCTAAAAATTGAAAATTGTATTACAAAAAATTTACCTAATTCTTTGAAGGCGGTTATCTCAAAAACCAAAAATGCTATCGAAAAACTGTCAACTATTAATTTGCTCAATATAAAAATTTACACAATATCCTCTTTTAATATTTTTGCTAGCTACAGTATTTTCTGAGATATGCGCCTTTAAAGAGAGGGAAGAGACAAAATGCGTCTCCTTGCCTTTAAAGGTGCACATTTCGAAAACCAAAAATTATACCAAAAAATAGTCAACTACTAAATTGCTCAGTATTAGATTTTACACAATATCCTGTTTTAAATTTTTTTAGCTACAGTATTTCTCAAGATATGAAGTTTCAAAGAAAGGCAAGAGACAAAATGCATCTCTTTGTCTTTAAAGGCACACATCGTAAAAAAGATTACTTGGAACTCTTAAAACTAGTTTACAACTAATGTAGAAACATCTGTAACTTTTTGGTATACCGTAAAACATGTAATAGAAAGACTGACCGTTGAGCTTCTAACTTTGAGCTCTCATATCTCAAAAATATCAAAAAGTGGTCAACAGACAAAGTATTTTTGATATTATGATGAACAATTTTTCAATAGACAATTTTATAATATCTGTCACAGAAACCGAGATATTTGAGCTCAAAGTTAAAAGCTAAGGGCCCTTCTATTACAGGTTTCACGGTAGTTGTTAAAGTGGAGGGAATACTGTGGGACATCATTTTGTGTTAGACCAAGTGAAAATAAGAAAGTGCTAGCCAGAATCTCCTTCAAGTGAAATTTGTCAGAGTCGAAATCGTTATCTCCTCACACTATCAGTCGTAAAACACAAAGCAAAAAATGAAGTACCTACTAAAAAACGAATAAAGATGCTCTTTCTTCATAGCTCTCTCAGAACCCCTACTACTTCCACTTAACATTTTTATCGCCTGACACTAGAAGCGCGAGAAGATGATGATCCGTGCCAATTGATTTATTCTTTAAAGAGAAGGCCAGTCGAAGGACCAATGTGAAGTGACGTTCATTTTTTGAAGCAGAAGATGAGAAGGAGAAGAAGAATGAGGACAAAAGAGTGAACAAATGGGTTTTCAAAGAGGGCTTACGATGATAAATCGGTGGGCAAAGGTATTAGAAAAGAAGCGACTGGAAAAAAGGAATGGAGTTCGAGGATTGGCCCGATTCGGAAACTGAAAAAGTAGATGGGAGTTATTAGGTGATGATAATTATTATTAGGTGATGATAAGAAAGGAAAAATCTAAAATCAGAAGTCTTCTTTATACTGTAAAACCTGTAATAGAAGGGTCCCCCTAACTTTTAGCTTTGATCCAATTTATCTCGTTTCCTGTGAAAGGTATAAAAAAGTTGCCAACTGATAAATTGTTTATCGTAATATCACAAACATTTTATTAGTTGAAACAATATTGATATCTTGTTCAGGAATTGAGATATTTGAGCTCAAATTTGACGGGAGCCCTTCTATTACAAGTTTTACGGTAAAACATCACAAAAGAAAGTGGTATTTCAGTTTTTCAAATGTCGGATTTTTTGGATCCCGAATGGAAGCAATAATTGGCGTTTAGGAACAAAAAGTATTGAAATACATTTTGGGATCAGAAAACGTTACTGAAATAATCTAAAAACTGATGCCAGAATACAGTATTTTATAAATAATAGAAGCTAGCCCGATATATACCCTCTGAGCTCAATCATCTCGGTTTTTATGAGAGATATCAGAAATCTGTCAACTGATAAAATACTTATGATATTATATTATGATAGACAATTTATCAGTGGACAACTTTCTCTTAATATTTGACTGGGACAGCAATAAGTGAGCTCAAACTTGACAGTGTGGAAGCCTTTCTAGTACAGGTTTTATAGTAAGAACAAATATCAGAATAGACTAGATTTCTGAACCTTATCTCCCACCGTAGACAACAATACCCATCACATCTTCAAAATTTTAAAAATACGACACATAACAGAAAAAAAATCATTCTTGTCATCGCAGTGCATCAATGTGATGAGATGCCTCTCATCACAAAAAACCACATAACACAAATGAGTTGACAAGCCAAACTCATTTGCCTCATCATCAGAAAGAAAAGGTGCGTTTTTTCGATTCTCCAGGAAGCGAAAAAAAAACCCGGGGAAAGAAGAAGGAGGAGAGAAAACGACACGACGTTAACAAATTTGATGTGGTGTTGTCCCGATTGAAATGACAAGATAGATGAGAAAGAGGAGGAGGTGAAGTAGTCAACCTATTACACTGGAAATAAGAAGCGGATCTCTATTTTTCTGAAAAGGACTAGAACAACATCTTATTCTGGCGATGCCCCAAGTTAATGAAAGGGGAGGAGACAAGAAAAGGCTTTTAATCAAGTTTCGCCTTCTTCTTCTTTTTGCTTCTTTTGCTCCTCCTTTTATAAGATTCGGAGCCCCCAAGAGATTATTTTCAATCTTTTTAATTGGATTCCCCAAAACTACCGTACCGTAGCCACTTTAGACTAATGGAATGGCACATCATCTAATGAAGTTTTTGTAGATTCTGGAGAAAAGGAGTAAAGTAAACAAAAGGACCTTCCAAGAGAATTTTCGAAACGGGCGAGGAATGAAACTAATTCAATTGACACACCAACTACATACATTCCTTCTTCCATGGGACCACAGACAGAAAAAGTTTAAAACGAAGGCCGAAAAAGGAGACAAAACGATAAATCCGTGGGGAGAAATGGACAACGGGACGGCGAGGCAAAATTAGTTAAAAAGCCCCTGGTGTGGTGGTATTCTGGGTGCCAAAGGGGTCCAGTTTTGAGGGATGAGTGCGAAAAAGATTTGCATATTTGGTGTTGGGGTTAGAAAAACCACGACGGGGGTGTAAACAGACGAGAAAACGGAAAAACCGAAACATTGAGAATGTGTTAGGAGCAAGAAAATAGAGAGAATGAGAAATCCCTGGTGAACTCGGGAATAGGTACCAAAAACAATTCATTTTGAGACCTCGGAAAGAAGGAAAAGACGATGGATGACCAAATGGAAAATGTCAGAAGATAAAGCGCTATGTTTGCACAAGTTTTTAGGTTTACGGAGGAGGAAAATTGGGATAGGAGGAAGGGAAAGGAACCATTATGAATCGGGGAAAGACATATTCGGCCTGAAATCTACAAAGGGATTCTGTAAAGAACAAGCATCTAGGAAAACCGTCCAAGCTTCAAAAAATTAATTTCTTTTAATTCTACAAAAACTTTTGGGAATTCTGATATTTCATCGAAAGATCGGAAATTTTGAATTTCCCAAATCTCAAAAAATTTGTAAAAATACAGAATCTGCAGAACATTGGGAAACTCGAAAAATCAACAATTTCAGAGAATTCAAAAATTCAGAAATTCGGTAATTCGAAAAGTCAGAAATTCCGAAATTCGGTAATTCAAAAAATCTGAAATTCACAAATTTTATATAAAATCGAAAATCCGAAAAAATGAACTCCGTGGGTTCCCAAAGTTGTCAACTGATAAAGTGTTTATCATAATATCAAAAACATTTTATTAGTTGACAGATATTCGATATCTCTTATAGGATCCGAGATAAACGTGCTCAAAGTTGACTGTTTGGGTGTGCTTCTATTGGAGCACTTACGGCATTTTGTCTGAAATCTACCGGGAATTCTGTAAAGAACAAATAACAAGGTGCACAAAAATCGAAAACAGTCGAACTAAAAATGTTTCTTTAATTACTGTAAGAAATTTACATTTTAGGACGAAATTTAGCTTGGAAGGTTTCCGAAAAATTGATTTTCACAAAGTCTTACGAAAAAACTGTAATTTAAGTAAGGTTTAAGTAATGAAGATCATCGCTCTTTTTTATGGGAAAAAGGTGATAGATCCATCTACAGTACCCCAAGGACCTTCTAGAAAAATTAATTAAGAATTTCAAAACTTCTTCACTGTCGCGCCCTCTCCCGAGGGCACGACCTTATGTATAACCCTAACGGATCGTATGGAGCTACGTCTGCACCATCGGGAGTCTACAGTCACTCAATACACCAAAGAAACGCCTCTAGACGTGCCAAGCTGCCTACAAGAGTCTGCGTCTCTCACTTCCGCGCACTCTCTCGCCCACCAGGAGGTGCGCTCCACTGAGACTGCTCTACAGGACCAGCGCCAAGGAGGAACACCAGCCGCCAACCAGAGGCAGACAAACTCTCTCTAATATCTATGCTCTCTCCTCTCCTTGTCTCTGCGTCTCTCACATTTCTAATCACTGATCAATTGTCATCCTATTCTAGCCAGTTCTTCCAACCTGCAGCCATGTAGGAAGGTTGCTCCTTCCCTCGCTTCCCCTTCTTGTCACCATATTCACTAACATCCATTGTATCCTTCTGGGGTCTCTGTTGCCCTGCTAGTGTTCAATAAACACGTTGTGAACCAATCCACTGTTAACTACCATCTCAACGGAAGGAGCCAAGGGTTGCATAGCAGTCACGGTTCGCTAGGAGTGTGGGCTCATCACCCCTCAATCCCTAACCGTGACATTCACACTCCAGTTTTGATAAATTATAGTCAGCTCGTCCGTGTTTTTTCCTATTGTAAACAGCAAAATAGAACGCCACCCCTAGCCTTTTCCTTTGAGCTAATTTATATCGGTTTCTGTAAAAGATATCAAACAGTCTAACAAAACACTAACAGAATATTTCTCATATTATGATTAGCATTTTATCAGTTGGTCACTTTTTGATCTATTTCACAGGAATCGAGATAATTCAGCTCAAAGCGCGCGTTTAGGATAGTCCACTATCAGAGCATTTACGGTAATAGTTCTTCCACATAATCTAATCTCTTGGAGTCAGTTTCTTCTCAAAAAACTCGAAAAAAACTTCTAACGACTAAAATCCAGATAAGAATCTTATGATTTCTACAAATAGAGCTAGAGCCATAAAACAACGAATCATCGCACAAAAACTATGATGAGTCTCTCTGCCGATGAAAAGGAGATTGAGTGGAGATTAGTTGGGACCGCGAACAACGAGAAAAAGAAGAAGAAAATAGAAGAGAATGAGAGAATGTTTTGTGGGGAGAAGAAGAAGAAGAAAGAGTAGTTATCATCAGAAGGGCTCGGACGATAATTAATGATAAGAGGAAGATTGACTCACGACAAATGACATGGATTCCACTGGAGTGAGAGGGAAAAGAGAGACCAATACAATTGGAGAGGTTTAGAGAATAAAATCAAATTGTTAAGAATAAGAAACAGAAGAAAAAAAAACAAATATCATAGAATCTGAAATTTCTGTAACTCAATTTGGGCTGTAACTTTACGAATTTCTATGAATACTTGATTTTTAAAATTTCAGAACTCATTCCAAAATTCACCTGCACTTCTCATTTTGGAATCACGAGGTTTTCCGACATCCGATCTTTGGGACCTCGAACTATCAAATAACCTATAGCACCTAAAAGCTTTGGTGCCAAAAAATGTTGTTGTGTTTTTTTAATTTCTACCTGAAATTTTTCGGTGTTTTTTCCGGAACATTTTTTCTCTTTTTTTCGATCGAATGCAGGCATCGGTTAGTAGCGACGAAACAGTTCTAACGCTAATTTTACTTTAGTATTACGGTAATTCGCGTTAGAGCGCATTTACGAGATATTCCGAAAAATCACCGTGAGAGCTTCTAGTGAATAAACCTTGGTTTTCGAAAGGACCAGTGTACTTTAAAAGACTAAAAATATTTAGGCACGTGCCAATCGGATATGCGAATTCAGTTCAAAATCTATTGAAGTGTGAAGACCAAGAATGAAATAAAAATAGGATCCTAAAAAGAAATGTATATTCTCTAGTAGAGAATCTCCACAATACTAATACGAAGAATTTGTGGGCGGAGCCTATTTTGGTGAAGAAGACGACGAAATAAATAAACAAATGTGTTCATGACATTTATGTATTTCGTTGTTGTCCTCTTCGTCGTCTTTTCCAGAATTATAATTTTAGAGGAGGAGTGTCTTCAGGATAAACCATCTATGTCTGTTATTATTTACTGCATGGACCACTAAATTCCTAGGGATAATCCATAAGCCTAAGAAGACGTTGACGACAAGTAGAAGAAGACGTCAAGGAGAAAAAAGAAGCCCGAGGAAAGATTTCTGGTGAAAAGTGAAAAGTTGTCAGCGGTTTCCGGTAGAATGTGCACTAGTGGGTGGGCGACGACTAAAAAGGGTAATTGGAAGCGGGGAGCGAAAAGGAGAAGAGGAAAACGAAATCTGACGCAGCACCAGCCTGCAAAAATTTAAATGATGATGATGAAGGAGAGTTTATAAAAGGAGGAGCGAGAAATGGAACAGAAGGAACGGAAATTGAAAGAATCTGGAGAGGGAGAAAGATGAGCAACAATTGGTGATTCAAAAAAATAGGTTTCGAGTTTTCGGGGTTTTTGGGCAACCTGAGGTTCATGCACAGTTTGAAAGTTAAAAAAGAAAATTTTGAAATCGTTCATTTTCGGGATCTGATCGACCTGAAAATTTTGAGATACTGTAAATGCTCTAATGCCACCCGATGATCTTTGAGATGAATTATCTCGGTTCTCTCAAAAGATATAAAAATCTGGTCAGCTGATAAAATGTTGGAAATCTTACGAAAAAATAGAGTTGACTGGATTTTGATATCTTTTATAGCAACCGAGATAATTGAGCTCAAAGTGCGAGTACATGTACCGTAAACAAGAAGGCCACCCTATACTTGCACTTTGAGCTCCTATATCTCGGTTATTGTAACAGATATCAAAAAGTAGTCAACTAACAAAATAATTTTGATATTGTAATTATCATTTTATCAGTTGACCCCATTTTGATACCTGACCCAGAACCGAGATATAGGAGCTCAAAGTGCAAGAATGTGATGGTCTTCTATTGGAGTGTTTACGGTAAGTTGGCATTTCTAGAGTATTTACCGTAAATACGGTATTTATATCAAATATTTATCTGATACGAAAAAATCGGAGCTGTCACTATAAAATTTTCTCTGATCACTATAAAATTTTCCGACTTTTCTGGGGGAAATTGTCGTCAGTTAATCTTCCTCTTATCATTAATTATTGTCCGAGCCCTTCTGATGACAACTACTCTTTCTATTTCTTCTTCTCCCCACAAAACATTCTATTTTCCGACTTTTCTTGGGAAAATTGATATTAACTCGACGGAATGCAGTGAACAATGAGAAAATGAATCCGGAAAATGATAATTATTTAGGTTACGGTAGTTATCGTTGTGGGACTTTCAGCCATCGGTGTTTCTCTTCCACAGCTTTGATTTTTGTGCCATAATACTACAAATATTGTCTCATATCAGCAATCAGTCGTTTAAAAATGAATAGTGCCTCTTTCTGAGAGTCTCACGAGTAACTACTATTTAACTGATCTCAAAAGGCTTCTATTTAGAAACTTCTCTCTGCCTAAAAGATCTTCAACTCAAAAAGAAGAGAAAACATCAAATAGTCTGAAAATGTGTGTATACAAATATTCCGCGGCGAAGAAGAAGCGCCGGCACGATTAACGTCTTCTCCATCCGCCCGTGCGTGCACTTTTTTCTCCGAAGGAAAACCATTATCTGATGCGCAAACATGTCCGTTGTCTTCTTCTAGTTAAACGACGACACGAGCTCCTGAATGCCCAAGTATTTTTGTCATTCGGGAATTATTTAGTTCCGAAGCGCGACGTCGTGCAAGTAAAAAGAAAAACACAAAAAGTAAAGAGAAACACACACAGCGACTGATTCTTGTGTTATTACAGCTCCTTCTTGCCCGACGCCGTCGTCAGTAATCCATCCGAATCTCTATTTTCTTCTCTTTTCGCCGTCGTGGGAACACGACTGGGAGAGGAAATTCGAGACGGATTGGTTTCGGACGACGTACATCTGATTTTGAGTTGTTGAAGGAATAAACAAATAAATTTGGGTTTATTATAATAAATATGTTACAAAGCGATGAAAAGAGATCGGAAATTTATAGTTGAGTCGAGTCAAATCCCAATTCGACTGTGAATAAATACCAAGAAAAAAATGTCACAGTTATCAAGAAGTACAGTGAGGTAATAATTAGAATGCGCCATAGACGGTGAGCTTTTTGGCAGATAGAATCGGATGTTCTTTCGTAGCAGCGTAAAAATCGAGAACCAAGTGGCAAGCCTTGTCGACTGATTGTGGTGGCCAATTGCTCACGTCGGCCGACCACCAGCACGGATCCATGTTCTGTTGAACTGGCTGATATCCTTTGACAGTGAATGCGAGATGGAGTAGGGCGATGGCAATCATTTGAGGCTCTGTTGTGATAGACAGCGTTGTGTAGATACTGTCGTTGATAAATGTCCACGCGATTTGAACAGCGTCGGTGATTTGATCCCGACTCATATCAGGGAACATTGTCTTGTATTCCATGAGTGCGTCGTACGGAAGTCCGACTTGCAAATCGAATTTCAAACAGTGCAGAAGAAGTCGCTCCGTTCCCATCACGTCATCCTGAAATCAATAAATGACTAATAACATTTTGAAAAAATCAGATGCTTACCACGAGATTAGGATACTTGGCGAAAATTTCTGGATAGAGTGAATGTGCGGCGGCACACACATCCTTGCACTTTTTCGGAAAGTCCTCGACTTTTCCAGCCAAGAAAAGGCAGCCTAAAGCGGTCAACTCTCTGGCAAATGTTTGGAAACCGTGCATCATGTAAAATCGATGGAAGTAGACAGCGGCAACACCAATCGTCGGGCGGGGCTTGCTGAAAAAAGTAATTCTTAAATTTTTATTTGAAGAATTAATTTTCCCGAACCAGTTCAGTGCATTTCCAACTTCCGAAATCAACTTGATACCTTCCCGACGGTAGAGAAGCTCTTGATCTTTGTTCAAACCAGCTAGCACCGATGGAGTTGACTGGAAACAATTCTTAAGAGGATTTTACAAAGTTTTAGTTGGTACCTTCAAAGCATCAACGTGCCAAATCCATTCTGACACTTTTTGATCTGCCATTTCGACTTTTTTGGATGAAATTAACTGAAAAATCAGAATAGAAAGACGAGAGAAAAATCGAAATAATGCGAATCTTGAATTTCTCTCTTCGATACGGTGCGCAACAGTCCGCAATTGCGCACCGTACCCACTTCGAAAAATATTGACTTTCCTTTTTCTATTTTCGCCTCTTTTTTGTCTTTTTCAGTTCTACTTAATTAAATAATTGATTTTTAAAACTTTTTTTTCAACAAATTATACAAAAAATTTTAGTTTATAATGGTAGTCAAGCGCCCGAATTTCCGGCGAGGTGCTCCGCGTGGATATCGCCATCAAATTATTGATGCTCCCGTTAGTTATGCGCCTATTCCAAGACAAGTCCGAACAGTTTACGATATTACTCTTGCTAAGGGGAATCTGGAAGGAGGAGTCAAGAACAACATGGATGTAGTTTTTGATAAGGTTGAGATTCTCTGGATTTTACTCAATTTATCAAGATTTTTAATTTTAGGAAATCGTGGATCGTGCCAAAAACCTAACGCCACCAGCGGAGATCCGCGAACGAATTGCGGATTATGGCAGAAAAGTCATCGTGGCTCTGGAGAAAGAAAAATCGGAAAATACACTTCCAGATATCAGTGTCGCCGAAATCATTCCGGTTGGATCTTTCATGAATGATACAATTACACATTCTAGCGATAAAAGTGATATTGTAGTGCAGTTGAATGGTCTTCCTTCGTGTAAGTTTTCTATTTTTTTGAAAATAATAAAAATTATGACTTTCAGTTGAAAATGTATCTGATCTTGGACGAAGGATTGTCGACAACATGAAGATGGCAGATCCGAAAGAGACCGGAGAACCGTTGCCACAAGATTATGGATTTCTTATTTCGTCTCACAACTGCAAAGTGCGAGTTCTTGTCACAATAATTCCAGGAGATTCGGCAAAATTGGAGCCAGAATTGCATTGTAAGAGTTGAAAATATTATTCTCATTGAAAAAAAAATAATTCAGTGGATGAGAAAATTCTAATGATAAACTACTTTTCCACCCGTCACACTTCCTGGTTCGCTGCTCAGGCCAATTCGCTATCGGAGGAGAATATGCAAGAATATCGTGCTCTTATCCGTGTTCTGAAAGACACTCGTTCTCGATACAGCGACTTCCAGCATCTCTCGATTTGGTCTCTTCAGTATCTTGCTCATTATTGTCTTTTCAAAGGTCCAAGTCGTCAAAAAGTGAATCTCGGTACCGCGTTCCGCAGATTTTTCGAGCTAATCGCCGCTGGAGTTTTCCTTCCAAAAGCAGCGTCTCTCGTCGATGAAACCGCTCCAAATCATCGTATTGGATTTGATTTGACCTTTCAACAAAGGGATTCAATATGCCAAGGAGCACAAACACTTGTTCGAATCTTTGCAACTGGAAACGACGGATATCGCACGATTCTTGGAACGCACGGGACTGCTGCCGACCTCACTCAAACCGCTTCCACGTGGAAAGGAATTGAGATTCGACCGACTCTCGACGCGTACAAACCAGAGTGTATGGAGTGATTCTGCCCCCTCTCCTCGTGATACTCTTCAGTTTTATATCCTCATTCTAAAAATCTTTGTGTCATGTATTAATTGTTTTGTGTTGATAATCATTTTTCGATGAATCATATTTTTAAAGAATGCATTAATACAGCGAAAAAAAAGAAAACGGGAAAATTGGGAAAGATAGTTTGCTTAATGGATTTTCTCAGAGTCGACTGCTGGTTTCTGCTCTTGACAAGTGGTTTCTGCCTGCTTCTGTGGTGGTTTCACTTCTGGAACCTTCTTCTCTTCAGACTCATCAAACGAGTTTTCAAAACTGCTTCCATAAGTGAACCTATTCGGTGCTTTCTGAAAAAATTGGAAACTGGCAGGATTCTTCTAATCATGGTGTTTTTTTCGACATGTTGTTTGAATGCGCTCAAACGCGAACAGTAATAATTTTGTAAAATTAGAAATAGGTCCAGACGCGAAAGTTTTGAATTGCTGACAGTCGTTACTCAGCGGTGCCTGCATTCCATCAAAAAAGGAGCGGGAAAAATTATTTTTAAAACGTTCCGGAAAAAACACCGTGTCTATTCAAATATTTTAGTTTTTCCGGAACGTTTTATAAAAATTATTTTTCCCGCGCTTTTTTCGATAGAATACAAGCACTGCTCGGTAGCGACTCAGCAGTTTAATCGAAAGCTTTATTGTCGAAATTAAAAAAGTGGGACCTGAAAATTTGAAAGGCGTAGCTTTTTTGATCAACGAAAAAGTGCGGCAAAAACGTAATATTTCAGATTTTCGCCTCGTTCGAGCTACTTTCGTAATTAATTTCGATTTTCCGATAAAAACAGATTCTAGAGATGCTAGCAATCCTACCAAGAAATCTAAATTTTTTTCAGAAAATCCCACTAAATTCACAGGAATAAGTTTCGTTCACTACCGTAGTGTTTCTGTGGCAAGGCCTCGAAAATTGACCGGGAAGCCGCCCGCGAAATTTTCCAGGTCCCACTTTTTTTAATTCGACAATAGCGTTGAGACCAACGCTAATTCTACAGTAGTATTACGGTATTTTGCGTTTGCGCGCATTTAAACGACATCCCGAAACATAACACTGTGATTGCAGATCTCTTCTATTTTTGTAACTTACACTAGCCCCCTCCGCGTCATTCGTCTTGCTCAATCGTCGTCTTATCAGATCCCCACCGACTCCTTTCACATGAGAAGTTGGAGTTCGACGAGGAAGTCGACGTTGAGCGATTTTCGCAGCGATCTGGGTTAGAGAAGGTTTTTTATCTGAAGGACCAAATCAAACTTACATTTGGGGCAGCTGGAAACTCGTCGCCTTCCTCTTTCACTGTAGAAGGACGACGATCCGTTTGATTAGATGGTTCTGTTGGGTTTTCAGCAGTCGCAGCAAGATGTGCTCTTTGGCGATCTGTAATTAGACGCTGAAGGTCCCACAACGACAACTACTGTAACCTAAACATAGTTTTACTTTCCAGATTTATTCCTGCGTTTTTAGCTAATTTTTTCACCATCACAAAGTATATTCTCCGACTTTTCTGGGCGAAAATAATATAAATCTCGACGAAAGGCAGCGAAAACGAAAAAATAAGCTAATATAATTTTTCTCAACCTAACAACACTACACTTTTATTTTCGTAAGCGTATCAGAAGCCAAAAGATGACTCATAGGTATAGGTGTGACCCATTTCTCTATGTTACTCACTCTTCAACTTTGACGCCATTCTTCTCGAATATTCTTCTGAAAAAAAATTCTGGAAATTAAACAATTTGAAAATTTCGAGGCAGGCGAGAGGAAATACAAAAGAACTGAAGGTGACGATGATTGTGATGATGATGAGGATGATGATGATGGAGGGGCGAAACAGAGAAAGCAGTGTGTTCGGTGAGTCAGCTCCAAACCATCGGAGAAGAACGGAGACGATTGCAGGCACAAAACAAAAATATTATAGAAGAAACGGGGAAACTGAAAAAACCGAGAGAAAGAGAAAAAAAATAGAGAGTAAAGGGCCGCCTTCTTCTTCTGAAATAAAACTTAAACATATTGTGTCGCGTGACAGAAATGAAACCATGTTCAAATGATTTTAAGAATAAGGTGGTACGGTAGGTACAGTAGGCAAAAATGTGAATCAAAGTTATTAATATTACCTCTTGAACTCAAGCTTGAAATACTGTTTTTGTGTGATTTTCAATCAAAACTTTCAAGTCGGTTTTTCAAAGTGGTTTCGATTGTCCGTCAACAATCCGTCGATGGACCGTCGGTTCTCCTTCGGTTGCCAAATAGCAATCATTCACTGATTTGCTCCTCTTCTGTTTTCATTCAGCAGGTTTTCAGCAGTGCCGTTTTACCTGCAAGCCTTGGTAGGTGTAGAAGGTCCCACAACAACAACTACCGTAACCTAGAAAACCTTTGTCCACCTGCGTTTCTCGTCTACAGCTCCGATTTTTTGTGCCGGAATAATGTTTGTACCACCTCCTTTTTTCAATTTGTTCTTGTTTTTTACTAAAACCAAACACCTTCATATGACCCTCATCTAAAACTACAGTAATCCTAAATCTGGATGGTTCTTCAAAACTGCAGTACTCCTTTGAACCCTTCAGGATCTTCTAGAATCCATCCACACTAGACTATAGCACAATATCCCTACAGTAACCTAGAGCAAAAAAATTCGTAGCTACAGTAATCCCAACTTCTAGAATTTTCCGGACAGCAACCCTAGATACAGTAATCCCATCAGAAAACTACACAAGACATTCACTAACAAAATTCATTTACAAAAAAATCAAAAATTCATAATTGTTTTTACATTTTAAGCAATCACATGATTGTTATTATTAGGAACGTTATGCGGAGGCGTTGGAAGCGCGTCTTTCAATGCTGACATATCAATTGTTGTGGCTGGAAGAACGATGGACCCCCGTCGAGAAATTGAGGATTCAGTAGAACATGAGAGACGATTTGAAGATGTACTGAAAAAACAGATTAGTATAAACACTCTAATAGAAGGGCATATACTTGCACTTTGAGCTCAACTATCTCGATCCCTGTAAAAGATATAAAAAATAATGTCAACGAACAAAATGTTTATAATATTATGGTAAACAATTTATTAGTTGACAACTTGTTGATATCTTTTACAGAAACCAAGATATTTGAGCTCAAACTTAAGACTGAGAAGGCCCTTCTATTACAGGTTTTATAGTAAATGTTTTAGAGCTTACTTTGCCGATTTCGACATAAACGGGCATTTGGGAGCAGTATCATCATTGATGCTCAACTGAGAAGATGTGCACATGCTTCCTCTTCTTGAAGAGCAAGGCGAGTTCAGGAAGCTTCCACGTCGTGGTGCAGCTCTCAGCCGATCAACAATCGAAGAAACGAGAACGGTCCAAGCACGGCAAGCATCCGGGAAGCCACGGACGCAGTCCTAAAATAGAATTTTCAAAACCTCCTTCTGAAAACTGCTTTGAAAATATAACTTTTTGAAAACCTTTGGTTCTAAAAAAAAAGATACAAAAAAGAAGTCCCCAGATATAATGAAGTTTTCGTGGAGTATGAGTTCCTAAGAATACCACAAACTAAATTACAACGGGGTCAAAAATTTCAAAGGATCACAAACCTGAATAACCACATGGTCCACGAAATATTCTCCAACTTTTTCCCAGTGCGACGATTTGAAACCGTATCGTTTTAGATACGCATGACTCTGTCCAATATGGTCCAAATGGTCCAGAATTTTTGCGGGCTCTTGTTCCAGACTGGATACAACTTGAGAGACTAGAGAAACAAAGAAGTGAGTGTGATCGCGGAGAGTGGCAATAGATCCAGACCGTCTGGAAGATTTTAAAATTGCAGAGAAAGTCTAATTTGTAAAAAAAAATTCTAAAAATCAAGCAAAAATCTACATGCAGAAGGGCCCCACACTGTCAAGTTTGAGGTCAATTTTCTCAATTTCTATGCAAGATATCAAAGTTGTGTCAACTGATAAAATGTGCATTATATTATTATGAACAATTTATCCGTTGACTACTTTTTTGTATCTTTGACAGGAACTTAGATAAATTGGTTCAAAGGTAAAAGCTAGCGGGCCCTTCTATTACGGGTATGCAAAAAGTTTACTAAAATCTACCTCCGTTCACACCTTTCATGCATTGAGTCAACAAACGCCGCATTATAGAAAATATTTCGAACGTCCTTGTCTTTCTGAAAATCGTTTTTTTCCCCAGCTCATCTCTTCTATTACACCTACCGTATCTAACTTCTCCCAAACGCGTTCCACCAGACTGACGATTCCTTTACAATTGGCTCTTGGCGGCTCACAGAGACGAGCCCAAGTTGTTTTCAGTGCTCGAATATGCTCATGCTTCAAGTTCCAGATTGATGCTAGAGTGATGAGTTTGATGGCTGGCGCACTTCCACTTCGTTTTCGAAGTGGTGGGTTTGGAACCGAGAGACGATTGGCAGATTTCGCTGGAGATGAGGTGACGGATGACGATGAAGCGGAGTTGCGTTTCTGGAGATGGAGAACTGTGTTATGGTTTTGTTTATCTTGATTCGTGTGGGAGATATCAGCAAGTTGTTACTTTTTTATTTATTTTGGCAAACATTATTTCATCTTGACACCTGTAATAGAAGGGCCTCCTAACTTTTAGATTCGAGCCAATTTTGCTCGTTTCCTGTCAAAGATATCAAAAAGTAACCAATTAACGAAATATTTGTGATATTATGCCTAACGTTTTGACGGTGGACAATGTTTTTTATCAAGCATAGGAATTGAGATAATTGAGCTCAAACTTGACAGTAAAGGGGCCATTTTTAAAACGTTGTGCGGTTTTCAGGTTAAGGTTTTCATAGAGGATATAAAGCCAAACGTCTTGGGTTCTGTCATAAATATGAAAAATGATCAACAAAATAAATAATTCTTAGAACTAGACGTTACGATATTTTCCGAAGTACGGAAACAAAGAACAATAAGGTATCATAAAGTTTGTATTAGAAGGGCTCTCGCACTAAACCATAAACCATAAATACTCTAAAAGAAAGCCACCCTATGCTTTTACTTGACCCAACTTATCTTAGTTCCTATGAAATGTATCAAAAAGTAGTCAATTGAAAAAATGTTTTTAAAATCATAATAAACATTTTGTCAATTGACTACTTTTTGATATTTTTCACAGGAACTGAGATATATGGGCTCAAAGTGCAAGTATAGGGTGACCTTCTCGAATGGATGGATTAATTATATTAAAACTGATTAACTTATAACACTCACCTTCTTCTGAAGACTTGTCAACGTCGGATTCGACGCTCGCTTCTTATAGAAACCGGCTCTCGCAGCTCCCATCATCTCGAATACTGAAAAAGAAAGAGTTTAGAGTTTGGAAATAAAAGTACGAAGAAAGTTGTTTTTTGCTCATTGTCTCGTCGTCTCTCTTCCATTTTCGGAAGAAAAGTGGAAAAACGGAAGAAAATAGGAGATAACGTCGTTTCTTCTCGCATCTTCAGGAAACTTATCTCCCCGGGGAGTACTTTGTGAAAACACACAGAAAGGATAAATCATATTTCTTTGTTCTCGAAATTTTTCCGAATGAAAGGAGACGAGGAGGATTCTTTGGGACAAATACATACACTTATCATGTGCATAATAATGTGCTGATTCCAGGGAAGAGAGAGAGAGAGAGAGAGAGAGAGAGAGAGAGAGAGAGAGAGAGAGAGAGAGAGCGAGAGAGAATATGGAAAAAAAGAAGGAAGACAGTTGTTTTCAAAGGAAGTTTGGTAACTAGATACGTTTTGGCTGGAAAGACATTGTAGGGTTTTAAGAACATTTTTCAGGTATCGTAAAAACTGTACTATAACGCCACCTGTATTAGAAGACCCCCTCTAATACAACGCCACCCTTTGAGATGATTTGGGGTAGCAAAACAAAATTTCAATCTTTCATTTACACAGTAACAGCACAGGTGATTCGCGAACAATCCGTTGCGGATTATCCGCGTTCGCGCGCGGTTGAAATAGGAACCGTACACGAACCGTTTCCAGCAAAACACGGGGGTACGACGAATTCGAACGTTTTCAAAATCGAACAGACCTAAAATCGAATTGATTCAATCAGAACAGTCCTTTTTTCGCACACTTACCAGAATAGAACGCGGACAGAATCGAACTGTTACAAGTTCGAA